CACGTAAATGAAATACAAATGCACAATTTGCATGGTAACCAGGATCGTCACACACATGTGCACAATCTTATTAGGGTTTTACTTCATCCCAGAGTAGTTTTTTCCAGTTGTTTTCACAGTATGAAAAGTCTTGCAACAGGTGCTTTAAATGAAGACATCAAGCACTCAGCACATTCTGTGAAGACTTTTGACATTATTGCTTAGTGTAACGAGCCGTGCTTGATACCAATTCACTTTGCACACACCACTGTAGATATGAGCACACATTAGTAAACGCAGTGTTTCAACAGGTGTCTTGAAGATTCTATCCCAGAACCCGTTCTAAAAATTGAAACAATTACGTCTGGAAATACATGTATATTGACATTTAATTTCCTGTCTTCTCTGAAAGGTTGCTACTTTGGCAGTTATTTCAGTATGGGTGGGCAGCGCTTTGACACCCCACAACCTGAGGCTTACCTCTTTGGTGAAAACACTGATTTGAACTACCTCAGTACAAGACCTGCCCCGGTAAGTATTTTTGAAACGAGTCAACTCGTGCTCAGGCCAACTCGTGTCCGATTCAATTTTGGAAGCATAATTTTGGCCACAAATTGTATGGAAGGTAGACAACTGAAAATACTCTTATTTATCCCAGACTAGTTCAAAGAATGGGACCGTAGTCTACTTTACCTTTGAATATTTTGGAGGTTCCGAGCAAGAATGCTTGGACAGTCAGGCTCAATGGTTTTTGTTTTTTTTCTTCTTCTTTTGACAGTTTCCCTACCCATCACTCCAGCCCAAAGAGCCCATCAAAACCCTCAAAAGTCTGGTCAACATCCGGAAGGATTCTCTCAAGCTGGTCCCAGCACTCAGGTGGGTTTATATTTATGCAGATCGCAGCTCCATAGTATATGTTAACCAGTACCACTAAACACCAGCAACATTACTTTTGAAATTTAGTCTGCCTACGTGTAGGTATTCACCCCCTTCTTTCCTCGCTAAAATCGCCCCACAATGAACAGGCTCCCTTTCTAAACCTGCAGGTGTTTGTGACACTTGAACAGCGTTATGGTGCAATATTATATTGGACCATAATATTTTAAGGGAAAATCAGTGTTTTCCGTATATGTAACTCTTTCTGTTCATTTTAACCTCTTCAGGAATTTCAGATAAACATGAATAAAAAGTAAAATAAAAAATATGCACAGCTTAAATTGCAAGAAAAAAACGATCAACGATTGCAGCAGGAGGCTGTGAAATGCACCACAGAGCATAGATATTTCAAATTTTTCCTGGGGCCCTTCAGTAGGCCCCGGACCCCACGCTGTTTATGCTTCGCGCTTGCGATTTCATCTAGGTTTAGCTATTTTCATTATATTTCACTCACACCCCTGAATATACAATTCTTTCCAAAAACAACTTTCATTGCGAGAGCAAATGATGAGACAACCTGTAGTTTCTATCTGCTGAATGTCTTCTGGAAACCTTCTGCATCGAAATGTACATGTGTAGGGCAATCCGGTTGGTAAGTGTAACGTCACTTCAGTTTAAACCACGCCCACTGCACATGCACTGCGCATAGAGTTACATGCATTGATCGCCATTTACATGGAACCAGAAATTAATGCCTAATGGAAGCCTGCAAATTGTGGCGCGTCCGCCTTTGTGATGAAGTCACATACGAAGCGGATAGACATCAACCCACTCAAGTTGACACTGTTCAAACAAGTATTAGTAAATTTGTGTATGGGAAAATTGCATAGGAGCTGAAGAAATGTTGGGGAAGAGGAACGATTCCCCGTCTCCCCCACAGTCTGCGTCTCTCTCAGCTTACCATCAGGTGAGCCTATTTACCATTTTGTACTTTTTCTGCAGGGACGAAGAGGAGAGAGGTGATGGGCATTATTCCATTGAGTTCACCTTTGACACAGAGGCGCGCACTGCCATCACAGTCCACTTCTTTGCCCGTGAGGAGATACAGACGGGCCATGCTATGTGAGTAGCAAGCCTATTCCAGTGGGTGTCATGCATTGCTGTTGCTTAGTGTAATTTAATACTGTATGTCATGACATCATCATGATGCCACACTTGCCTGCACATCTTGGGCCTCACATTTTGGAAAATTTTGGACGAATCGTCGTAGGGACGTGTTGCACAGAACAGAGAAAAGAATTAAAACCTACACAGAAACAAATGTGATTAGGTTGATGCTGGACTGCTCACAGTCACAGACCTGCCAACTAGTACGATTTTGGCATATTTTGTATGAAAAATTGATGAAAATACGACTGTACGTTTTTATTAACATAAAATACGGATTTTGATAATTTTGACACAGACAGAAAAAAAATAGGGCGCTGTGTAAAATTTAAGCTAAAATAGCTAAAGCGGCTGTGAGCAAGACTAAGCCACATGTCATGTGGTTCTATATCGCGAACTCGTAAAGTAGAGCATTCGTGATTGGTGTACGCTTTGTACACATACCCCTGGTAGCGCATGTATCAACCAATCGGAGCGTCGCATACCAAACTGATCGCCATGCATTGTGGAGTGTACGCTCGTGTGCATGCACAAAAATTTCCCGATGTAATCGTAAAACTGTGTGAATGAAGATGGCTTCAACTTCCAAAAAAGACACCCAAAACGGAAGCAATCTTTCAAAAGGGAACATACGGAGAAATTTGAATTCATATAACCTTCCTAGAGAGGTAAACATTAGGCTCACTGCACTTTGAGTAGTTCTGACCCAGTATCGTGCATACATTGGCATAGTGAGGGTTATGATGTATCTCGCCACATCGAAAGCAGTAAACATGGGTCATGTCAACAAGCGTCAACAAAGCGTCAACTAAATATTCAAGCATTTTTATAAACATATGTTTATTTACAATATTCGTAAGGCTCCTACATATCATATTCAACGTATCGTATCAAAAATGATATTGGAAGGTGGAAATTTGCGAGACAAATTCAGGCCTGCTCGTGCAGCCTGACTGGCTGCCATCTTGTTTTCGTGTGGACAGTAGAGTAAAGAAAGATGGCGGTCTCCATACATCGGTGAAAAAGTTTCGTTTTTCTGCGTGAATCTGGAAGCGAATTCGGTGTTTCTTTTACACAGTGGCAGGTCTTAGAGTCTCTAAATTTAGATAAGACTACTTTTAAATCCTCAGAGAGTATTTTCAAGTTGTTGACGCTTTGTTGACGCTACTTCAAGTACTAGTTGTATGTGTTGATGCTAAATAGCATGACCGGTAAACACCGCGTCATTGCTGAAACGAAGAATGCAACCCATAGCACTGCAGTCCTGTCAGACTCTCTCACAAACAAAATATACACCAAGCCACAGCCAGGCCATGGCAGCAATGTGCACACCAAAATGAACTGTTGTGTAAATGCACAAAAGCAACTGCTGTGAGTAACACCAGGAAATTATAAGGTCCATTTAAGCCTGCACGAGTAAGTATTAAAGTTCAAATAGTATGTAGCCATGCAAAGGTACTTGTAAGCTTGTCTTTCCTGTTTGTTTGGGAAAATACACATTTGTATTGAAAAATACACATTTTGGAACCTCCGAATACACTTTTGCGATTCTAAAGGTTGGCAGGTCTGCAGTCATCAACAGTAGTAGTTGATCAAGGGTTTGTTCCTTTTTGGAATGGTTCTCGTCGTCTAGACAAGAAGATGCTTGAAACAAAATTTGGAAAGTAAATTTGAAAAAATGACAGAGCTTATTCAAAATCAATCCCCCGGTGTGTATTGCTGATAAAAAGGCAGAAAAACCCTTGAGGTTTGCACAAGACTTATGCCAGTTGCAAAGACCTGATAAGCAGAGCAGTTTGGTAAATGCAGAGAATCTGTTAAGCGTGGACAGGTTGCCTCCTAAAAAGTCTTTCATTATAGATTACCCATGAGTGGCCTCCTGGGGATTTTACTTAGCGAATGAGCAGGGTGCTACATCACTGACAATAGTCATTTCATGTAGAAGCAGCAGACCACTTATTTGTGAATGCCCTATGTGTGTCCAATCTTCCAGATACACCGCCAGGGACCCAACCCTGAGATCAGAGACATTCCACTATGAGCGTGGCTCCAGTCAGACCTTCTACCAACCAGCATTCACCTTTGACCCCTCCACATTTGACGATGATGAGGTAAGTCAAGAAAGAAGGGACAGCAATGCATAATTTCCTTCAAAAGCCTGTTGTATTTAATTGTGTGGACTTGCTGTGGCTGTCAATCTGGCTTTAGAACCATTTTCATGTCGCAGATGTTCAGACCAAATAAAAAGCCTCCAGCTTTAATAAGGCTCGCTGTTTGTTTGAAGAGGCTAAAAGATACCATCAAATTCAGAAAACAGTTCTAGTCCAGTTATGAAAATAATGCTCCGTGATAATGTACAGCAGCATCCATCATCAGCTTTTGGTAAATTCAAGCTACAGCATTAACCATAAACTTGACTGACATCACTCGAACAGTGGATGGTTGGAGTAGTCTTGTTGACCATTTTAAACCAGGCCTGCATAGTTCTGGTTATGAGTCACTTTTTATAACTAGGTACACAGGGAACCATTGACAACCCATAATGAAATGAAACCACAATAGCGGTTTGTCTGGGGTTGTTTGAGTGGGACTCTAACTTGCTTCAGGGACAGTCAGTAACCGCATGTCACAAAGTCATGCATCAGTTTTCTCAGATGCTCATTTCTTACAAGGCCAAGACATGACTTCCTGTAAACCAGCCTCTTCTTTGATTTATTCTCTCTCCTGCAGTTCAACTATAACCCGGCCAAGGATGTCATCCCCATTGTGATCCAGTGCATCGTGGAAGAAGGTGAGGAGCATGCGGGCCACAGCCATGCCCTCCTAGCCACGCTGGAGCAGACTGCCGAGGCCTCCTACTACATCAAGCCGCTCAAGCAGAAGCAGATGGTGGACGGGGTGTACTACATGCTGCAGGAGATCTTTGGCATTGAGAACAAGAACTCTGGTGAACCGGGCAAGGTATGTATTAACCAGCTCAAACCTTGTGGCACTTTGGCCATCTAGATTCCCCTTCATGAGAGTCTTCACAAGTGATTGCAGCAGGAGTGATTCACAGTACAGCACAGCCACAGAAATATTCCCAGAAGTCCACTTGCAGCTAAGTAATGCTGACAGTTACCATGCATTGGCCATATAAGAACTGTTGCTGACCGGTGTAGACTGTGATGTTTTGTTTATCAAGGCCTGCGTCTTTTAAAGGGCTAAGAATTCTGTCACATCACGGTGTGCTGTAAGTGCAGCAACCAACCAACATCACAATGGTTTTGCTGTGTCAGGAATAAAGTAAATCATCACAAAGCAAGGTGTTTTCTCTGCTAAATGCATTAAAAATCCAATGCTACTAAATGAAACAACATGCAACATGTATAAAGTGAATTTTGCAGCATCTTTCACTTGGATTTGGTTGCATGCTGACAAGTCAGGGTTTAGAGGACAACAGAAAGGGTACGGGAGAAGGGATGAGATTCTTCTGCTTTTTGGCAGTTTTCTGCTTTTTGGACTTTGAAAATTCACTTTTGCAAATAAATTCAGCCTTTTTTGGACTGTCGGATACAGTGAAAGTCAACTTACAAATTCCGATATTTTAAACTTTTCCGACCCATTTCATCAAGATAATTTTTGACTTCCAGGTGTCAGATGTGATAATATTGAGCCTCAATTTGTTGTAAAATAAAATGAAATTGCATTTCTTGTTGCTTACTTTTACATGTCATTTTTATTTCGTCCTAAGCACATCAAAATCATATTGACCATGAAGGGCACTGTCCCATGCATGCCTTATGTTTACGTGTAGTTTAGGCACATGCTGTCAACGTACATATACACACAGATCCGAATTGGTACCAGGCTAGAATTGGAAGATAAGATAAAGCAACACATTCCGTTGGCTCTTTTTGCTGACAAAAACCAGTGCCGACCAATAACCATCTCTGTAGGAAATGTGTTCGTTTCCAGGTAACTGTCGGTGTCACAATCGCTCTGATATAAGCCAATGACTGTGCACTTTCCATGCTACTCACCACATGCATGAGTGTGCAGACCACCACTCAAAGCCACTGTGCCTGGTACCCTGAATACTTTTGTGTGTTATCACCGAAAACCGTACCGCCGTGTGTGTTGTTGAATGGACGTTTCTTATTGTTACATTTCCATCATCATGTCTGCCCGTAAAGACATCATTCATCAAGAAGAAGGAAAGGTGAAACACATTGACAAAGGGATTAAAATTCCTGGCGATGGGAGTGGGTAGGAAGAGTGTTCTTGTCCAAATTTATTCGGATATTGGCAAAACCTGGTAAGACGGTGGTGCGATGTAATGTTAGAAATTAATTACCCTTCCCAGGGCAAAGATGCCTTAACAGCACCTGCAGAATCGTTGAAATACAACACCGAACTCTAGACATGGAAAACGAATTATCGTCTATCAGGTACATGTATACGTGAACATAGTCAACATGTATTTTGAAGCACATGACAAACCATAAGTGATGAACAAAACTATGTGGTGGGTCTTAACATGTATGATGTATAAATCTAACACCTATCAAGATAACAAATAATGAAAAGGTTAGGCTAGGTTTTCAGAGTATGGACTTTCATAAATGTTTCTAAATAGAAACATTTGTTGGAATTTGCAAGCACGCAGCGCCAAGCCCTTTACGGCACTCGGGCCCTAGGAAAATTGTCAACTTTAGATGATCTGTGGTACAATGTAATGCTAAGCCCCTCTGGGACATATTGTACTGGTACAGTTATATTTCACAAGTGTAAAATATGTCCCAAAGGGGCTTAGCATTACATTGCACCACAGATCATCTAAAGTTGACAATTTTCCTGGGGCCCACGTGACGTAAAGGGCTTGGTGTTGCGTGCTTGCAAATTCCAGCTTTTTTTCATTTTCTGAGAATCTCATCCCTGCATCTTGCAATTTGCATCTTTGTAGACACCTGAAGAGGATGAGTTTGCCGATGACATCGGATCAGACTGTGTCATCTGCATGTCAGACCCCAGAGATACACTCATCCTACCCTGCAGGCACCTCTGCCTCTGCAGCACATGTGGTGAGTCCAGTCAGCCCAACAAGAATCCCCCCTGGGGTTAATTCTTGCCTCGTAGAGCAACTTTGGCTCACAGACTTTGACTTACAACCATCATTTATTGTGCTCCTTGAATCCACTTTATTTATTGAACACTCTAAAATTGCAAGGAACCTGACTAATACACTGTAATGGCAGGTATAGCATCACTTTAAAAATAGCTTTCATTTGGACAGTAAAGATGACATAGCTCTTTACCCATCGTGGCTTAAGGATGGTAATCTAATCTGGCCCTATTGTCTGATCTTCACTCCCACACGTTAACTTTGTAGAAAATGTTCACAGGGTTTACCTTGCTTTCAATTCAAGATGGCCGACCAATACCAGGGGGAGACAAACAATCTGCTGTTCTTACTCTGAATAATTATTGAAGTGGGAACCTGCCAGTTGACCCAGCCTTTATGTCGGTTACTTGTGAAGTGGTACCAGTGAAGAGTATTTCTTTTGTATGACAGGGCCACAAATACAGACTGGATACCTTGAGTCACCGTTGCCCTTAGCATCACACTTGTCAAGTTATTTTCTCTACCTGTGCTTACATTTCAGCTGATTCCCTGCGCTATCAAGCCAGTTGCTGTCCCATTTGCCGTGCACGTAAGTTGACTGCAAATTCTGAAGAACAAGCACATTGTAGAAAGCCTGTTCAAATGCAACAAAACCTGCACATGGCATGAATTAGACATGAAGAAACATTGGCATTGGAGTTTGCAGGAGTTGAGCTATTGCTAATGCATGCTGCAGATATTTACAGTGACATTCATGTCCATGTCAGTCTTCGACAAGGTTACATTTAGGAAAACAAATTCTAAGGCTCCTTCAGCGTCTGATCTGCCTTACATGAAGGTAGAGTCTCAAATTCATTTCCTCTGAAAACGTTATCGCTGTTCATGTAGTTCACTGTTAGTATTACCACTTGGAAAATAGGACTAGCTTTCAGATTGCTGACTTCACACTTAGGTGTTTGCTGCTCTGTTTAAACGTGTATGTTTTTTTCTGGTGACAAATCAGGTGCACATGTCAAATGATAAGAAGAAATTTGATGTATGATGTCAGACCGTCATTTCACATTCTGTTGTGAGTTTTTATCGGAAATACCATCTTGCCCTTCCTTCAAAACCTGTCCAAACTGGATTTGGCATGTATCATTCCGAGTCATGGAGCATGGAGTCCTGTTCGTATTTCCCCCATCTTCTGTAGCTTTCCGAGCACTTCTGCGAATAAGGGCACTGAGGAAGATTGGCTCCACAGCCGTGACTCCAAACGAAGATGAAGAGCACCAGGTGAGATGATCTTTATCTAAATCGAGTATTTTTGTAGCTGTGACTTCAACTCGTTCAATTTGTGTATCACGCTCATTAGCCATAGCCAGTTACAAACAAAAATACCTGTTTTTGCCTCTGCCTGACAGTATTCCACGTTAGCGGAAAAAGTTAATATTGTTGGCTAGATGTGTTAATCTACTTGCTAAGCCTGGCAGAATTTTGAGAAATTTTTTTGAGAATCCTTGACTTTTTTCTTTGCTATCAATTGGATAATTTTTACTCCCTCTAGACAAGCCAAGAGAACGTTCCCAGTGGATATGAAGCTGTGCCCCTCGGTGAAGCTCTCAACGGTCCAAGTCCAATCAGAGCTGGGGCAGAAGGTTGGTGGATCGTTGGCTTGTCACTATCATTTTAAATCCAAAAAGAACTAGGCACTTTGGAGGGGGGTAGGCGACTAGAGAAAGGGAAATGTGCCCTGTTTTAACATGCCTTTTTGCGAATCGTGATGTCATGTAATTCATTGTCCAATAAATAAAAGGTAAATGCTCAAGACAGAGTGGTGTCATGATGATGTCATTGTCTGATTTGCCCAGTACATGTATTTACCATAAAAAGTCTCACACTGACGTAAAACTTTCAAGCTCCTCTAGATTTCTTCTCAACATCACATTTGACATTTCATTGACCAGAAGGGCCTGTTACCCTTTTCACAAGCAGACAACACATCTAATTTGTGTTGTCTTGCTGTGCTGAACTCTTCTTGGAAAAGACCCATTTTCTGTCTTTCTGGGCTCTGTGCAAGATTGCAGCAGAATACACACACACACAGCCAAATTGAAAATCCTTTTGAATGCAGTGAAATTCAATGATAGATTGTGTTGCATGGTGGACTGCTCTAAAAAAACACATCAGCATACATGCATTGCTGTCTGCCTCTTTAAAAATCCAACAGTGTGAAATATTTGATCACTTTTGTTGCAGTTGGGAGGCCTATGGTCCATAAGCGAATTATTACTGGTCACACCAGCTCAACACAGAAATACAGAGTTTTTTGTTGCAATTTTTTTTTCTTTTTTTTTTTTTTTGGTGCAGGTGGAGCAGGAGAGAGGCTGCTTGGATCTGCGTCCAGTGAAGGCCGATCAAGGAGAAGTCGAAAGTAGGTATCCTTTTTTGATAAGAAAACTTTCTAGGCAGCTGGATAGTTAATATTCGTTTAGCAGTCTCAGGGATTTTCTCTAATTTGTACAAGTTGTGAGGAACATTTGTGTCTCATGTTGAGGATGGTGTTATTTAAACATGGAGCCCAATATCTAGCTGTATATTGGATTTTGAATGATTCTTGTTCAGATGACATTGACAGAAATGTCCATGAATGTTGTTTTAAAGATACTGAACAAAGATTTTCTGTGCTTTTCTGTAGTTTGTTGCTGCAGAATTTGTGCTATTTTTTAAAGCTTGTTTTCTCATGTGAGGTTTTTCTAGCACATTGAAAAAGGATGGTGTCCTTAATCAGATGACGGTATAGCAAATAGGACTCTCGCCTATGCCCATTTCCTTGATTCAGTTCTCTCAGAAAGGGTCTGAACACAATGCTTACTTGCTTTAGAAATGCACCCATCTGTGATTCGGCCGTTATTTTGTTGTCATTATTGACAGGAAGGGTAGGACTAGCTCAGCCGCTTCTGTGCGCAGCCGCACTAGCGAGGACCAGTCGGCCGGCTACCGGGAGGAGAATGAGACCAAGACCAACCCTATGGCCAATGGCAGTGTGCGTTCCTTGCCTGATGCCAAGAAGAAGGCCAAAGTGCCGATGGCTACCCCAGCAACAGGAGATGTTGTGGTGAGGAAGTGTGCGATTGGTAGAGTTCTAATAGGTATTCATTTTTATCCAGTTAACTGCAGAGGGCATGTTGACCTACAGTGATTGTCTGTGACAATTTTGTGTTAAGTGTGTCAACATGTTTTTTCAACGGGAACAAATGGAATTTGTCCAATCGAGGCAACCTATTCATTACTGTGCATTTGCCAATCTCTGCGTGACAGGAGCTGTTTAAAGATGAGACAAAGTTGGCCATGCCTCCCTTGGCCTTGCGTGAGACTCCACCCAGCTCTGCTTCAGCCGACAGCAAATCTAGCCATAGTACCGCCTCCCCGCAGAGCATATCCCAGGAAGGCTCGCTGACCTCTGAACCTCAACTGCGGTCAGCTAGGAAGGGGTCGCTGAAGTCCAATCCGTCCAGAGACGGGAGCCAAATGTCCTCAGATTCCCAGACTCTAGACAGGCTTGTGGTCCATGGATTACAAGAGACTTCAATCGATGGTGATGATTGTAAGTAATTCTCTTTGAGGTCATAACTAACTGGCAATACATGCAAGGCTCAGTAATGTACAGCTCAGCAAGATTTGGTGCTGTGAAGTTAGCTGAGATCTCTTTTTATGTAAAAAAAGGAGCAACTCGCATGGATTTGGAGTCTCAATACAATGAACTGTGACAAGGCCTTGTTCTTGTCACCTTTTATGTCATATTAGAACCTGTGACCTACTGTGTAATTGACTTCATTCAAACTGTTACTTTTTCCTTGTTTCACCTTCAACTCCTGATAGAAATCCATCACTTGCTACAAAACCCATTCAGTCTCAACAATCAATAAAAAGAAATTGCTTATGTAACCCAACCTAACAAAGAAGTCTGAAGTTACCTTAGCTATGTTTGATTGAAAAGACTTTAAAAGCATCATGCACCTCTGCTATTGAGAGAAAGCTACAGCGAAAGCCCCGCTCCCTCCAGCACTCCAGCAGTAGCTCTCGGTCCTTGTACAGACAACTCCAGCCAACCAATTTCAAATGCCCGAGGTTCTTCGGGCAACCCAAGATCCACAAGGGGGTACACTCCACTACGCCCCATTGCCGCTTCAAGAGTGGGTCTAACAACATAGCCAGACATCTTGCCAAGGTACTGCACCCCCTGGTTGGCAACCCCAAACACCACATCAAGAATTCAGATCAGTTCGCCAGCTTCATTCAAGGCCTCACGCTTCAGCCAGATGACATCGTGGTCAGTTTTGACATCGTCTCCCTCTTCACGAATGTCCCCTTCTTCAAGGCCGCCACCATTACTAAGGACAGACTTCAGGCATACCCCACCGTCAAGGACCGCACCAATCTTACTCGGGAACAACTTCAAAACCAGCTGCTCACCTGTGTCAACTCTTCTATCTTCCGAAAGAGAGATAGATTCTATGAACAAACAGCCGGAACCCCTATGGAATCCCTATATCCCCGGTTCTGGTTGACATATTCGTGAAAGAATTTGAGCAGCTCGCTATCAACACTTCAGATCACAGACCTAAGATTTGGCTCTGGTATGTAGACAACACCATTGTCATCTGGCAGCATGGTCAAGATCCTTCCTAGAACACCTCAACGGGCTTTACAGCAACACCCAGTTCACAATCGAACCGAAAAAGATGGCAACATCTCATTTCTTGATGTTGAAGTATCCAGAAAGCAAGACGTCAGTCGCACCTGCTGAGTATACCGGAAACCTACCCACACAGACAGATACCTCCACAGCGTGTCCTTCCATCACCCCAAGATCAAGTCTTCAGTAGGGTTCTCCCCACGTAAGAACTTACGTATTGGGCCCAATACGCAATTATTTCTGCCTGATACGCAAAAAACGGGCCGATACCCATTTTTTCGTACTCGATACGCACAATATAATTATGACAGTATGGCTCAGAGTTATCTTACATAATGCAGATTGCATGTCCGGAAAATCTAGATGAAAAAACAGTTGATAGTCCTGCATTTTTCCATGTACTGTACATGCATTGTGCACCACGCGTCGGCAG